GTTCACCGTGCTCATTTCACATGCAAAATGGATCGCAAGAAAAACTCTGGCCCTCCAAAAGGAAAAGAAAGGCATAGCAGCGCGCGTTGTTTAATTACGATTCACGTTTATTAAATATTTTGTTCCTCGGCCCGTGAAGTTTAATTACGCAACGCGCGGTGTTTTGTAACGGATTCCCTCCGCCCTTTACTTTTTTTTCATCTCGTTTTTGTGTTATCTGTTGCGTCCACGCAGCGACGATCCAATATTAAACTAGCGAGCGTCGCGTGGCTTCGCGATTACTTTCGAAATCATTCGCGAGTTCCTATCGAAAAGGGTTGTGGAGCGTGTGGGGGATGAAAGGGCGGCGGAACGCGAACACTGATCAAATTTTACACTCGGTGCGTTCAATTTATTTTCGGTGGTGAAGTCGTCTGTCTCGTCGCAATTCATTTCTACTGGCCGCGTTAACGTTCACGAGGCCGTTCGCCGTCGTCATCGTCGACTTCGACACCCGAAAAATGGCGCCGATTACAGTGAGCATTGGATAATTGCAATACTCAACGGGACCGGAGTGTTGCAATTATGAAGAGGTAGAATTGAATCTTCTTCAATAAAAGATTTTAGCATGGATGTAAAAAAGAACGACGCGATGGAGGAAAAAGAAAAACTGAGAGTCGATGCGTTCGGCGACATTTTTCTTACTTCGTAATTATTGATATCGCAGAGCCGTTAAATATTCGAAATGATCTGAAAAAATAGTTTCGGTTCAATACTATAATCAGTATACGAAGAAACCGAAAAGAAATCTGTTGTTATAATTTTTATAAGGATTACATTTTAATCATGTTAAATGTTCAGTAAATCTAGTGTTAACGACTAGATTATGACTTGATGATGATTTTCAATTATGACTTTTAACGAACTTTCACCATCATGTTTCTTATGTTTTTCTGATTAAAACGACGCCAAACAGGATAGAAGTACGATCATAATTGTTTGTAAAATACGCGATTAAAGTTTCGGATGTAGAGAAAGCCTGCGAATAGAAAAGAAAGAGACATTGAAATCGTCGAGTTCGACAATAGTTGGATCATGTTATACCCTTCAATCGTGACCCGTTGTCGAGTACTATGGTGTATTAACCAGTTAACTGCATTTGACAAGCACTCACTTCATTTTTAAATTTTATTTCGCGCAAAACGAGAGATTTTTGAAACTAAATTCCACAGTTAATTGGTTAAAAGGAACCGGGGGGGGATATGGTGGGGATGACGATGTTGCGGTTATGAGGTGGTCCCCGATGCAATTATCTAATGCTCATTCCCGGCCGACGCGACGCGCAACGTTTCTTAAATCTCGCCTCTCGCCGCGTGTCTATCGAAACACCGAAAATAACGCGCGCCGCTTTCGCGCCCGACAGGAAGCCAAACGTAAGTAACTGGGTCGCAAGTTCATCAGTGTTAATTATTATTAATCAGGAAACCTCGAGCGGGCACAAAATTCCTGTGGATTTGCATGATTACAAGGTCGCTGGTGTACGCTGAATTACCGCGATGACGTGGAAATTGCGGCGCTTAGAGTAATTGTTAAGAAGAAAATAACTGGGGCTAGATTTATTTGCACAAGAATATGTTATTCGTATTGATTTTGTGTTGGTTGGGTTTGGTCGGTAAATAAACGATCGTTCGAAGTATGATTTCAATTCTCTAATAATGAGCAATTGGTCATTTTGTTTTTGGTAGATTCTGTTGTTCTTTTGGTTAAGTGAAGTATACAAAGGTATAGGAAATTGATAAAATTATATGCATTGTTTTTTAAAAGTTTCCTTTAATTTAAAGCATCTCCTGAAAATTCAATTATATTAAATTATATAGGTTTTTTTAAACTGCTCATTATACTGATTGAAGCTATTTGTAACAGATTTTATTCTTTTCTTTCGACTTATTTTTGCATGTAGAATCATCTTGGTCGAATAAACAGTTATAAGACATTTTCTGTGGCAATGTATGATTATAAGCATTTTTATTGCTTTGTTTTTTAAAAATGGATTGTTAGTGCAGTAATCGAATAAATCAGAAAAATAGTGGAAAAATAGAAGATATTGTATAGACTTAGACAGAATTTACTCTTGATCCAGAACCAGGTTTTCCAGCATTTAATACTAGGTTTACGAAAGACATTAATTTGACACATATCGAATTTTATAATAATTACGTGACAAATATTGACGTCAGTCTATCTTCAGACCGCTAATTTCCAAGATTTAATACTAGAAAATAAAAAATAAAACAAAGAAATCAATTTTCAGAGTTGGTGGTGAAAGATTTGAACTTGCTGAGAAATTTTATTTTGAAATTTTGGAGGTGTGAAAGAACAATGTACCAATCTGAAGATGATCCACAGGAAAGAAAAATGTACATTTTTTTCAAGGGATGATTTCAGCCCTTCAAAGTGAAATTCGACACAAAAAATTGAAATGTATTGAGCTCGATTTACTCTACTTAGATACAAAGTTTCACATTTTTTTAAATTTCCGGGTTCGATAATTTCCCTTGTTCGAACAACAGAGTAAACTGTACAGCCAAATGCCTGTAAACCTACTGTCACAGCGAACGAACAATCGCGAAAGGTGGAGTCTATATCGTCTTACATTTCAGTGAGCTGTGTCATGTTCAGAGTGTGCGCACCAGGTATTTTTCGGTGCTCATCGCGCGGGTTCACTTCCATTTTATCGGCGACCGATCAGCCCACAAAAGCCACGTTTCATTTCTTCGACAAAGGGGCCAAGTCACTGGCAAGTGTGTAGGTATAAATATTTCCCGAAAACTCGATAATTTCGCTGATAGAGCAAACAAGCCAGAAAAAAGCCTGGGTCCTTGTGTTCAATCCACCGTGGAACGAGTTACACGATTGACCTCCTGGTCTGATATCGAATTATACACGTCGTTCCGAAAGTAGTAAAAGCGGTATGGCACCGCGGCGGGCGGTCGAAGGCGGAGAAGAGCCGGTCGACTTTTCGCTCCAGTAATTGCGAATTGTTTGTTGTACGAACCGATGGAACCTTCGAGGAGTCCTGCACTCCTTTTACTCGCCTTGTTCCTCGGCCGACGCATTTTTATCAATGAATTGCCTCTATAAATTTTCCTTATAGCCACGCTCATTCTTTTCGATTTTGTTATTACCGCTGAGTACATTGCATTTCCTTTGTTTTTATCGAACGTTGCAATTTATTCGAACGATTTTAACCCTTTACTGTACAATTCTTTTTGCGATCATGATCGCCAGATTCATTTTGTTATTTATAATTCGTAGAAATACAAAGAAATATTCTGTCCATATTGTAAGAACATTTTAACTTCGTAAGTAGAGCATTGATAATAGGAAAATAAACCTTTATTTTAATTTATTTTCGGCGGGGTAGTATTGATTTCTGTTGAACTGAGTTAAAAATCTTCGCCACGAGTCCGATTCGTTATTGTACAGCAAGGGGTTAATGCGGTTTGTGTTTTGAAGGCGTTGCTGAAAATAATTGATCGAGAGGCAAACTTTTAATTTTGAAATGAGTCAATCCATTAATGTCTATGTCAGTATTTCCAGTCTGAAATGTTTGTTTGAGTGTAACGTAATTCAAATAGCTACGTCAAACAAAAATTTACTGGGAAGATTCATAAAAATTATGGTGTAATATTATTGTCACAATAATTACGATTCTGATGGTATGAAATTATACCAATCTTCATTGAATATTAAATGAACTGACAGTTCACGTGCAAAGATCAAATTCCTGTATTATACATTCAACTTTCATTATGAAACGATTCATCAATATTAATTGATTATTTTAGTATATAATACCTCATTGACTGTTACACAAATGAAATAGCTACACTGAATTGTATTCACTACAAAGACTTATAAAAATCAAAGTAAAAAATTATTATTACCTACAAATGATATGTACTACACTGTTCCTTTTTCTGTAGAGGTAGTATTAGCATCGTTTCAGCAGTCTGATCAAAGTGTAGTAATTAGTGTATTTACGATACCGTGAGGAAGACACGGAAGCGGTAGAAATTGTAACGGAACGTCCGCAGTGTTAAAATAGACATCCTGGAAGCGGTCTATGTCTCAGTACTCTACTTTGGTATAGTACTCGAGGCCGTTAAATGTATCATCAAATGTTATTTTAGCCGTAGTGTCATCGGGTTCGCTCAATCTAAATATCCATGCTTTTCATATTTGCGATTTTACGATCGATCATTTTAGAAACAACATCGATCGATCTCTATTTATAGTTGCACTCTAATTATACACATTTTGCAACTAAAACATATTTCATTTTTTTCCTTATGCAATGTAAAACAATCAGATAATCTTTGTAAATGAATTTTTTTCTCCTCGTGTGACATTTATATAAAAAACAAAAACCAACATTTTTCGTTTAATATGATCTTAAGAATACTTTGAAGAATTTGATTTCTGTTCTTTTAAAAAATATCAAACTTAAACTTTCAAGGAACAGAAAGAATGCGAAGAAAGAATGGAATTTTATAAAAATGCAGCGAAAAGAATGTATATATATTAGGTGTAGGAAGAAGATTTTTTCAACGAGCTTCAGTTGATTAAATACATTTATTTCATAGAAGCCACTGAATTTCTATCGCGATGATACTCGAAGGTTCCCAGAAAATTGATAGAACATTATAAATAACGATGACGATTGCTTTTGATGATGAAGCATTTGTACATAATTTGAAATAAAACTTCAATGTCACTGAAAAATCAGATGGAACGTTTTGCTACAGTTAATAAATACAAAAATTTCATATAAAGTTTGGCAAAGTAATGAATAATTTTGAAATCATTCACAGTAATTTATTTTCAAATATTTTATAATATTGCTATTTGAAAAATCATTGGTAAAGAATTTCGTATATGTGCATAATTATAATTCGGTAGCAATATAATATAATTAATTATTCACTGTCAATTATTCATAAAAAATATCAAAAAAAATTAATGATCAGTTATTAACTAAATGTTGTGCACAAGACAGAGGCGTTGCCTTTCTACATTTTTGTATTGTCCCCGAAATAATACGAAATTCATCAATTTTTTTCACGGAAACCCAGCAGTCTCGTTATTAATTATCACGCGAAATGCCTGGGGAGCAATCTTTCATCATCCCGGGGCCGGCGCGATATCATAATTATATCATGTAGCATTTATTACGCGCGGGCCAGTTTGTCAGGCTGGAATTAAAGTTCAACAAACAGGGGACTGTCAACCAGTGTTATCTGTGTCGCCGCGTGAACTGGTAATCAGTCGCTAAATTTACTGTCGGCGAAGATCATGTGCAGTTACACGTGTTACATGGCCCGTGACACGCTTTGGGTCTCTCGATAGTGGCCGACGAGAGCCTTGGCATCATCCGATGTCCGGTCTTCCCGCGGAAATAAAAAGAAAACTGATCGTTTCACCTTTTCTTTGTCCGGGTGCGGTTAATCGGGTGCTGATGTAATTGCTCGTTATCAAACGGCTATACAACGGGCAATCGGAGCTTCAAAACGATCGTAAACTGCGGAACATTATTGTGAACAAATTTATTAGAGCAATGAATCGTCGAGGAACGTGTAGAGCGTTTCTAATTAAATCAAGAGAATCGATTTGCCCTTTGAGAAATTCAATTGGTATTCTCCGAGTATTTTATTATTGAGGATTTATTTGCTTTCATTATCCTTTTCAGTATCATACATATATTTACATTCTTCGTGGATCAACTGAAATGAAGGTATCTCGATTCGATATAGTAACAATGAAAATGAATAATACTAGTTGCGAATAATCTGCAAAAACGATAATTAAGTTCTGCTGTCGAAATTATCAGTCTATGTGAATTGTTCTCGTGTCGGTACGAAGACTCTTTTTAACATTAACATTTCCTTAAATTTGTAATTGGCTTCAGATCATTTATCAAATTTGATGTGTTAATATGGTGTGAGAGAAGGTGCCACTGATTAGGAGTAAACTGTTAACCCTACAATAGAAAACTATTGTAATCAGTGCTAAGATGAAGAACAAGAAAATAGTGGAAGAACCGTGCTGGATTACGGACACTCGAGATTCGTGCGTCGTTGATCGACATTTAATCGAAACACCGTTGTAAGGATGCCGCAGTACGACGACACTTTCCTGGAGTCGCCGATTTTTCGGCGACGCACGCGTAGCTACGCGGTGCAGAAGGAGTTCGTGCCGAAGTCGAGGAGCTTCATCACGGCCACACCTTTGCTGCTGGCCGTGACCAATCACGCCAGGACTCTTTCCGGTTCCATATCGACCTGCAACTTAAAAGGTAATCGGAAGGAAAGAAAAATTCAGGTTAAGGGCGTGAATCTGTGTTATGCTTCGTTAAATAGGCTAAAAGGTCTCCTCCCCCCTACTCTCGAGAGGCAACGCGAGTTTTCTCGATTACTGGGAAAGCTGACGTTTCCTTTGAAAAACAAATACTTCTGGTTTCAGACTTTCATTGATTCCGCTTTGGATCTGAAAAGTTAGTGCTTATGTTTTTTAATAGCAGTGAAGGATAAAGGTCTTTGTATAGCAAGAATTTTTGTGTAAATAAAAAAATGATTTTAATATCTAAAAGACTAATTGAAAGAAATTATTGTACTAGACATATCTTCCGCTTAGTATTATGTATTAGCATTGAAAATTATCTATTAAAGGTAATGTGCAAAGATTTAGATGTTGATAATCAAAAGAAAGAGGTAATTGAAGTATTAACGTTTGGTTAAATGTAGTTGATAATGTAGAAATTACTTGTCCCTTTTTATTAATTTGACGACTTTACTATTCTACTAAAAATGTACTTCATTATAGGTTCATTATAGATATAAACCGACTGTTTTCTCATTGTCGAAGTTTGTAGATTATTCTATTCTTTCAAAAACTTTTAACGTTCTAGAAATCTTTAACACTAAACGTACCAGCGCTTTGCATACGCCTATTATTAAAGTAACCAATCGAATAACTGATTATAAAATAAAAATAAACGAGTTAGATGATACATTTTTCTCAGTGAAAATAGAAACAGAAAGACCGACGAAAATTGAAAAACTAATTAATTCACATAAAATTAAACGATGGAGCTAAATTATATACCAATTGCTTAAACAATAGAAAAAAGGGAAGTACACGCTTATCTCTTTGAGTAATTAAATGATTCGTTACAAATTTTATTATTTGAACAATTCTACTATGAGTGTCAAGTTCAAACATAAAGCCGGCGCAAATATTTCTCACGTTCGTTATTCATGGATCAATCCCCGCGCTTTATTTCCCGAAATGGACCAAGTTTGATGCAGTCGCAGATTAATTACGCCGGACGCGGGAGCATTCTTTGGCGAAATAGTTCGCAGTTCGTGTCGGGTGTCGCTTGCACGTGCGATCGAATATTATCAGCGTTCCTAAAATATCTGTTAGAGTAATTAAACTTAGGATAACCACGTTATGGGGGCATGTCTGGCCGCGCTAAATACAACCCCACGCGTCGTTGACTTGAGCGCCGCGGCTTGCACGTGAAAGCGACTCGGTTGTTAATTACCCATTCGTGCTGTCAATCATATTAAGTACCTAGCTCACGTCGGTACTACCTCTTGCTATTAACACCTACCCCGTTACTACGGGGTTACACACTATCATCCCCCTTTCCCTTCGCTTGGCCGCACGCATAACGCATACACAGGCACGGTGATTTCCCTCTGGGCAAGCAGTGCAGTAAATTGCTGTGTACGCGTATTCCAGCTTGTATTCTGCGATTGAAGCGTCCGGGAGAACGTGATCTTAATCTCGCGACAAATGGCCGGGACGTTAGCAGACCGAACCGGCTGGCTGGACGCTTCGGGGTGAAAAGTATTGAAGATCAGTCTTTGATGCAGATGAAAGAGATATTTGTGGAAATGGAAATAAAAATCTTAGGTTTCGAGTAACGCTTTTAATGTTAAATCAGCTCAATAGGTTTTATAGAAATTCGAGAAGAATTAGGTAATGTGTATTTTCTCAGAAATGAAAATAAAAATCTTAAGTTTCTATTAACGCGTTTAATGTCAAATTAGCTCATTCAGTTTTGTAAACATTTTATATGGATGATGTAATGTGTATTTCCTTAGAAATGGTAATAGAAATATTAGGTTTCAATTAATACGTTCAATACTACATCGACGTGTACAAAAGTGTTAGATAGAAATAAGGTAATATCTGTTTCCAAGGATTTGAAAATATTTTTGGTTAGGCTTGGATTAATATGTTTAATGCAAAATTTTGTTCGTATAAATAGATTATAATAAAATGTATTGAGCAATCTTTGACAGTAAGAATAAAAATACTCCTAGAAATAGAAATAGAAATGTTCAGTTTCGATTGACACACAGAATAGCAAATCAGTTCTAATGAAAATTCAACAGATACAAGATGTAATTTGTTTACTGAAATTAAAATTGAAATGTAAATGTTCGTAACAATTAAATGTTTTACTTAGACCTATGTGATGAATTATAGTAAAATATGGTTGGTTCGATAATTTGTATATTTTCTGAGTTATTCAATGTTAAAGTATCAAAGTTTAATAACGAGGTGGAATACAAATCGGTACACAGAAATAATTCCATTCGTTACACGAGAATAATATTTATATTCCTTGATAGGTAAGAAGGTAATATAAAGCAGAAAAGAATTGATGGCAATGAAAGCATAAAGTTTCACAAAGACAAGAAAATTGCGAGCAACGAGAAGTCAATAGATGTAAAAGTAACAGGATTGAAAAGGCAATTACGTTCCTTTCAAACAGTTACTGTACTTTCTTTGGGCACGGAAAGTTATCGATGTAATAGCTTGTTACCATAAACTCGGACATTAAATTTACTTCATTTCGGATCGTGATTGCATAATACGGCGCTGCATTCATGATAATATTATAGGAGTATAGATTAAAGCCATAATTAACCAGATCCTTTGAAATTATTCAGGTATAAACCCTGGGGCTTCCCAGCCTTTGGCCATTAAACGTCACAAAGTTCTTTCATAAATCTACTGATATGATTATATAAAGAGACATTTGCAGAATCAACAAATTTCATTGTAGAACTCATATTTCACTGTTGTCAACGACTAAAAACAATAAATTAATCGCAATACCTTTCATTTACATCCAAATAATTATTTTCTAATTCTTATACCTCCAGATGTCAAATCATAGGAAAATTATAAAATCAATAAATTTAAATAGCGTTTTCACTCTACATTTATTTATTTCTATCTTCAATTTAAAAAATTCAAAATGATATTTATATGTCGATCAAAAATTAAAATTTTCTTCTGAAATATTTTTCACGTTGAAAAGAAAATAATTTAAACTGATTAAAGTGGTAAATAGATAACTTATCCTACCATAGATTGTCCTGTAAATAAATATGTACAACCGTAAACCGAGTAATCATGACAGCGTATTGATCAAGACGTAAATATTCACGATGCTAAATGTGTATCTTCGAAAGCCAGACAACTCTCAGCATAAACCCAGCACCGTTGAATCTTTTTTACGGCGCTGACATGCTCGAAAATGAAATTTATATTCATAGATGATCCCGTCGGATCGTGGCCCTCCCCTCTTTTCTTACGCGTTCATTTGAAAGTCAAATCTTTTCTGCGCGCCGTCAGCCCGACGAATTGTTTAAAGAAGAAGCAGCAAATAGTGGAAAATGTCCTCGACCGGCATGAATGGAGCACAGAAATAGAATCTTGGCACAGGTTCCGCGCGGTTTTCATAGAACGAAGCCACGAAACACCGAAACTTGTAATTAATCGGCATTAAACTCCGCCCGGAAATTCATTTCAACTTTGGCTCGTCTACTTTTTCGCTTCCCGTTCTCTCGGGGGAAAAAAACCATTGGGCTGTTTGAAAACTCATTATGGTTATTATAGTTGGCGTAACGTGAAATTAAATACTTTACGCTGATTAGAAATGTTGTTAGTCTATATGCTTTTGGAATATTTTGATCTCACATTTTGTGATTGACGAAGGTAATATTTTATTAATAATCATCTTTAAGTATTGTGGCGATTGTATAATCGTTTATTAATAAGTTACAACGGGGCTTCAGAGTATTTTTAGTTGCTTTGTTATTGTTCAATGACGTTAATAACGTATCCAAGAATACTTTGAATAACAAACGCCTCCGGCAAATTTTGCAAATTTGAGTTTCTGGGGAACTTGGAAATACACGAACGTAACATTTTTAACTACCTCATAGAACCAAAACAATTTCCTGCACTTTAATGATCTTAATAATTCCCTATAGTGGCACCTTTGTAGTTTGCTTTTCATATACCGCTTATCGATTGTCTTTCCTATTTTTTTTTCAAGATTTTAAATTTGAAAGAAGTACAAACATAATTATTTTGATAACTAAATTAAAAAAATCCAAGTATTAATTATTTTTTTTTAAATATAAATTAAATATTACTTTTCTATTATCAATCGTTAACCTTTGGAGTAAATGTAGACATAGAATAAGCATCATAATTTCCTCTTTTACCAATATATTATTAACGATAAAGTACTTCTATCGATCACAGTTAAGAAATAAATTATAGGACAAAGACTTAATGACAAAGTATTAAGTTATATCGATCACAGTTGAGATATCAATCCTAGGGCAAGGGATTAAAATCGTTATTTTCGAGCGTGCAACACACCACGAAAAAAAGTAGGAAACTTCTACGCCGCCGGGGGTAGGTTTTCCAACTTCGTCCGTCAGCGGTACGCGCTGCGGGGTTGCATAGTGCAGCGTCGATGAGTCTTCGTGCAGCGATGCAAGCATACGTTGTCGGCTCCCGGCAATATCCGGTCGAAATCGGCTGTCAGTTTATTGCGGAACAGGATCTTTTGATATGAGAAATTTCCGGACGTACTCTGGCACGTTCATAAATACACCGCGCCGGGAACCAGTGATTATCGTGCGGCCGCAACCGTTTACACGCCGCGCGACCTCGTAAACACGCGCGCGCGCGAGTCAACATTAATAAACATGAGTCTACGATGCACGTAATTAGTGCGTCGATAAAGTTTGCCGGTGTCTCCCCCCAAAATTGAACCAGCCGAAATTTGTTTTGAGTGGTCGGGACAATTATTTGCGGGTACGTAGCTTCGGCTCGCAATTCGCGTGATGGGATTTGACGGAGTGCGTTCGTTGGGAACGGTCATTGTTTTTCAGTCGAGATTTTTCGTGGCAAATAGATTCTTTCAAACCAAAATGCTTTGACTGCTGTGTCACGTGATTTTTGGCGACGAAATAT